AGAGTGCAACGCGTGCTTTCAGACCTAAAGACTTCGTGTCGAGGAGTCCATTATTATTTGTGATCGAACACCTACAAGATTTAGTTTAAAATGTAAATGAAAATGGAAGGGCCCGTACCTTAGCAGTATTATCGTTCTAGCTGAGATATATTCCAATTGTTTGGTAATTATTCGTCGTCCACGTGTCGAGCTTGTAGGATCCTTTTCCTGTGATTTTGAGAATCTGGTACGGACCTTCCCTATTTTCCTTCATTCGGATTTTGGGTGTTTAGAGTTACCTTCCTTATTACCAAGTCCCCGATATTAAAGTATCGAAGTTTGGCCCTTCTATTGTAATACCTCTCGATTCGTTGTTTCTGGGCGGCAAATCGAACAAGGTTAGCTTCACATCACATCCAATAGTTCTAGGCTCGCATTCATGGCTTTGTCATTCGATTCCTACGTCGCGTATCGAAATCTGATGCTTGGCTCCCTAGCTTCAACAAGTATTAAAGCTTTCGTACCGTAAACCAAAGAGGACGGGGTAGCCCCGGTATTGGACTTCGAAGTCGTGCGATATGCCCAAAGGACTTCGGGCAGGATTTCTCTCCATTTTCCTTTGGCGTCAGTCAACCTTTCCCTAAGGTTTTGTTTTATGGTTTTGTTGGTCGATTCGGCTTGCCCATTTACACTAGGGTGATAAGGAGGTTATAAGATCCTTTTGATCTTGAGGCCTTCGAGAAACTTGGTCACCTTGCTGCCGATAAACTGTTTTCCGTTGTCGCAGGCAATTTTGGATGGTATCCCGAATCGACATACGATATGGTCCCAAATGAAATTGATGACTTCTTTTTCTCTGACCTTCTAATCGGCATGTGCTTCAACCCACTTAGAAAAATTGTCAGTCATAAATAAAACAAATCGAGCCTTACCTGGCAACGATGAAAGGGGGCCGACAATGTCAATCCCCCACTTCATGAATGGCCATGGACATAAAACCAAATGCAGCAGCTCCCCGGGTTGATGAATCATCGGAGCATGCCTTTGACACTTTTCACATTTTTGCACAAACTCCTTCGCATCCTTTTCCATACCATTCCAGTAATAGCCGGATCGGATTACCTTTCGGACCAGCGATTCGGCGCCTGGGTGATTCCCACATGTGCCTTCGTGGAATTCCCTCAAAACATACTCGGTATCACCCGGTCCTATACATATCGCTAGCAGCCTGTCGAACGTCCTCCTGAGTAAGGTTCCATCTTCGGACAAGCTAAACCGGGCTGCCTTCGTATGTGGGGCCCTCGATTTCTTTTGGTCTGAAGGAAGTATTCCGTTCTTCAAGTATTCTATGTACTTATTTCTCCAGTCCCAAGTCATGCTTGTGGAATTTATCTTGGCATGGCCCTCTTCGACCACTGACCTCATTAGTTGTACAACATCCCCTGAATTAAGTTCGTTGTCTTCGACTGACAAACCTAGGTTTGCGAGGGCATCGGTTTCACTATTTTGATCTCGAGGCACATGTTGCAAAGTCCATTCTTTGAACCGGCATAGAGTTACTTGTAGCTTGTCCAAGTATCTTTGCATTCGCTCTTCCCGAACTTCAAAGGTCCCGTTAACCTGATTCACAACGAGGGGGAGTCGCATTTGGCTTAGATCAACTCTGCTCCCAAGCCTTTGGCTAGTCCGAGACCTACAATCATGGCCTCATATTCGGCCTCATTATTAATCAATTTTATAGTTCTAATAGATTATCTAACCACATTACCTGTGGGTGGTTTTGTAACGACGCCGAGTCCAGACCCCTTTACGTTCAAAGAACCATCTGAAAAGAGGGTCAAGATCCCCGAAGTCGTACCCGATTTTATCAGTAGTTCTTTTTCCACCTTGGGTACGAGGGCTGGCGTGAAGTCAGCCACGAAGTCCGCCAAGATTTGAGACTTGATGGCGGTTCGGGGTCGATACTCAATATCATACCCACTGATATCGACGGCCCATTTGGCCAATCGACCGACAGTTCGGGTTTGTGCAACATATCTCGAAGAGGATAAGTTCGGCTTTAGTTTCCTAGAGGCGCTTATTAAAGCAAGCGCTAATTTTTCTAAGTGTGGATATCTAGTATCGGCCTCACCTAAGGTCCGAAATAGACAGGGAATTGCGTACCTCGTTCTTCTCGGACCAGGACTCCACTTACCGTTATCTCCGATACTGCCAAGTACAAGTAAAGTTGTTCGTCCATTTTAGGGGTATGAAGCAGCGGCGGGCTCGATAAGTACCGCTTTAGTTCCTCTAAGGCCTGCTGACATTTCGGGGTCTATGCAAAGTTGTTCTTCTTCCCAAGCAATGAGAAGAATAGGTGACTCCTGTCGAGGACCTCGAAATGAATTGCTCTAGGGTGGCTATGCGCCTGGTTATCCTCTACCGGCCTTTACATTTTCTACGACTTTGATATCCTCGATAGCTTTGATTTTATCGGGGTTGATCTCGATCCCTCGATTGGACACCATGAAGCCGAGAAACTTGCCCGAGTTAACACCGAATGCACACTTTTCTGGGTTGACTTTCATATTGTACTTCCTCGGTATATGGAAAGTCTCCTATAAATGTTTCAAATGGTCCTCTACTCACAGGGACTTAACTAGCATGTCATCAATATAAACCTCTATTTTAAAAGGTAGAATTGGGACTCGTCCGGGGCTCACTCTGGGGCGGAGCACTCGTAAAACGCCCCTGGGCTTATGTGTGGGGCTTAGTTCCGTGAGACTTACGGCTCAGCTGCTGGGGCTTACACCTCGGACACGCGCAACTCCCGGAGTACGGGGCTCGCCTAATAGAACTTTATGCAATTGTGTGTAACTAACCTTGTTAATCCTCAAATTTTCTTAATAAATCGTTCACTATTCAAAATTACTTTTTTCTTAAGTTGAGAGTATTTTTATGTCATAATTAAAATAAAAATTATTGCACGTTATCCACTAAGACTGCTATATAGTAAATTTTAAATAAATCTTTCATTTAAAAGTATTTATTTATTAACTTTGGTTATGTCTGTTTACCTCAAAAAATGAGAGTAACAATTAAAGATAATTTGTGGTTTTAAAGATATGTGATATATTCTAATACTAGTGATTATGCAAGTAATATTAAGCTTAAGTAAGAGTAAAAGATGAACCAAATCAGTGTTGTTGGGGCAATAGGGGCCTCGAGGTCAGCTAAGAACAATGAAGTATGAATAATAAATTAAACACAATAAAGCTGAAGAATAATTGTTGAGCACGTTAAAACAGAAAGGCAGAGCAGAATGTTCTATTGCAGTGAATAATGTGTGATTCCCCTTACAAAATGATTGGGGTCCCCTTTATATAGGAGGAGGAAACCCCAATATAGTACATTCCTAATTGTAGTAAAGAATTCTATTGGTACAGGTGTATAACAGCCTAGTACAGACCTGTACATTTTCGTACAAATCTTATCTTTTAGATTATCCCCTGGTCCACGTGCCCTTGAGAAATTCTCGCTCTTTCTTGATTGACTTCGAGATTGTGCTGCCCTCGATGCAGTTCGTGCCAGGCCTTCGATCAGCTTTCTCGAGGTAAGTATCCCTCGACCGGATCTGACTTCCATTTCGAGTTGCCCGGACTCGGACTCATAACCCAATTTAAGACCTCGAAATCAGGCTCCCTGATTTTGACCGTATACACATAGTCCCCGCGTTTCTTAGAATAAAATGATGAGAAACGATTTGTATTCCCAAAGTCCTCAATGATGATGTCATCCTTGTGATGCAAGCGTTCGAAACATCCCGTCCGTCCGCTTTCCCAAAAACATTGAATGCATGTCAGCATTGGTCGGCCACTAAAGCCGCCGAACCGTCATCGCCCGTTTATAAATATGAGGCGATTCCTCCAAGTGAAGAACTTTACTCTTTCTTCTTCCCTTTGTCATATTCATCTCTTTCTTCTATCACTTATTTCCTCCGCCTCTTCAAGCGTTAGAAAAACACCAAGCTCTTGCCTGAAAATACCACATCCCTGTGCACCCGTAATACTTAGCTTATAACTATGGCAATAACTTCCAAGGCGGTCCCCAAAAAGGATAAAGCATCATCTTCCTCTACCTCCCGACCGGCCAAATCGGTGGTGCCACTAACACTTGAAGAAATCAATCCTGGTGATTGCATTATCAATAAGGACTTCGGTATCAAGAATCCTCCAGATGTCGAGGCCGATGCGAGCACGTATCCTGATACATTAGCCTGATAACTAAGCAGCTCGTCAAGGAAGTAAACGAGGATCGCTGGTGGGGAGACAAGGTCGAAGTGCAGATCCTGAGACCTGATGAAAGCATAACTACCCACAAGGAAGGGTTTTTGAGTGTTTACACTTACCCCTTCACAGTGGGACCCCTCGATCCGGTGGTGATCAACTTCTGCAAGACATACGAAGTAACCCTCGGTCAAATCCACCCTTCGTTCTGGTGCATCGTGATCATGCTGCGGTTTTTCTCCGAGAAGGCCGAGGGTTTGGAATTCACCCTCAGCCACCTAGTCTGCTTGTATCAGCCCCAATTATTCTGAGGGCTCATCAAGCTGCAGCGTCGAACCACGAAGTCCTTCTTCGCTAGCACCGATGAAACCAAAGATCGGGGTTGGATGAGCCGATTTGTTAGAGTCAGGACTTTGGACATCATCCCCGAGGAAAAAATGTTGTTCTCGTAGAGGTGGAACTTTAACCGTAAGTGGAGACCGTATTTTTTGTATCTATTCATTTTCCATAACTCTCTCATCTTTCTTTCGGCAACAGATGCTTGGGCGCCCCTAGCGGTGCCCGACCTCGAGGATTAGGTTAGAAAATTAGCTGCCACTTCTTCCTATGACAAGTGTAAGTGGCGTGAATTGGCGAAGGGCCAGTGGGAGGCGAAGAGCCACGGTGAGTGCCTTTCTATAGTTTCAACATTTTACATTTTGGCGGCGTTTTTACTTACTCACGCTTGCCCATGCAGGTCTTAGAGATGTATCTGAGATGAGGCCGGCCCCGCCTGGGGAAAAAACCAAGTCTTCAAATCCAAAGCTCGAGAAGGACAACAAAAGAAAAAGGGTCTCGAAAACCGAAGACCCTCAAGACAAGAAAACCCCCGCTCGAAGGCTGCGGAAAAGGTATGCTCAAACAGGCATAGGCTCGGCCCAAGACTTCCTGAATGATGAAGATAATGATGAAGAAGGGTCGGCGTTGGTGAATCGAGCTAGGAAACCAGTCGAGGTCGCTGAGCCTTCCGAAAAGGACACATCATCCCATGGTGAGGATGCCCCGAAAGGACAAACGGGCAAGGCCCCTCCATCTTCGGAGGTAGAGATTGTCCCTCTGACTTCAACAACTATACCGAAGGGGGTAAATGCCGAGACACCCAATGATAATGAGAACGCCCTGAGTGAGGAGCTCGGGGCTGCGACAACGGGTCACTCCCTTTTGTTGCCAACTTATTCTGAGGGGTCAATCGAAGAATCCAATGCTATGCCGAAGCCCGACCCAAATAAGGTTATCAAAGATGATCTTTTTCAGGGTTGCTTTGCTGAGATCGAGGACGCCAACGACTTTAATGATGCATCCTCCCTTTTCAAAAAGGCTCAATGTCTCCTTATCCGGGTAAGGACCTGCCCTTTCTATTGCAAGTTTTTCTCCCCTTGTCTTCTTTTGACTGATATATTTCCGTTTCATGCATAGGCCATTGCAAAAGTTTAGAACCGAGATGAGCCAATGCGAGGCCGAGCTCAGAAGGTTTCAGGCAAAAAGAAGGCCTTGAGGCTCCTCTGTAGTCAGAGAGAAGAGGAGCTTAAGGATCTCCGAACAGCATTGGCTAAACCTCAAAAAAGCGAGTCCGAGCTAGACGAGCAAGTAACAGCGATTTTATCAAAGTTCGGCCTTCTTGGCCCTACTTCGGAGGCTAACACTTTGATATCTCAGTTGCAGCAAAAGCTTGATATGATTGGGCAGCTCCGAGGTGAGGTAGATCGAGTTCGGGCTGATTGCCAACAATGGAAGAAGAATATGGATCAACTTGCTGCCGAAAAGGAAGATGTTAAGGCCCAACTAGACTCGGCTGAATCAGCTCCAAGGTGCTGAAGCGAAGAGCTTGTCTCTATCCAGGGAAGTCGAGGGGCTGGAAGCCGAACTGGTTAAAGCCCGAACCAAAGCTGCACAGGCTAAGGCTGAAGCTGCTCAAGCTAAGGTCGAAGCTGAGAAGAATAAGGTCGCGTCTGATAAATCCATTGCTATATATATGAGAGAAGGCGCGGCCGTTCAAGCTGAGTTAAAGGAGGCCTCCGACCGGGCAAGATAGAGCAATGAATTGGCTAAGTGCCGAGCCCAGAGGGAGACTCTCGAGGAAATCCATGCTCGGGGGTTCGACCTTGCCGAGGAGATAGCCGAAGCACAGGCACGGGAAATCGATGCTAGGTTTCTTGTCTCCTCTGATGATGAGGACGTGGTGAGTGGCTCCAGAGATGGGGAAAGTGATGAAGATGCTCCCGAAAGGGAAGAGGCTCCCGAAGATAAAGCCCCTGAAGACGAAGATGGCACTCCCGGGGACGTGGCCCCGAAAATAGATTAGGTTCCTTTTTGTACAAGGGGCCCTTTATGGGCATTGTAATATGTTTTTTAAATTTCTTAAATGAATATAAAGTAGCTTTTGCTTTGTCCTTGATTTGTGTTGACTTCTATTTTGTCTCCGCTTATGAAAAATCCCGATGATTTAAATGCTAAGTTCGGGTATCGGTTTAGACTCGTAATAAGCCCTAAGGATTTTACTGCCCAAGATCATACCTCTTAAGGTTTTAGATGATCCCCGAGCTGAACTTAAAATCAATTTAATGCGAGCTCGGGGTAATGGGGCCTTTTGGGTCTGAGTTAAACGAGAACTGGGTCTCGGACTCCCATAAGGCTTTGGCCTTATATTTCTTTTTAAGCTGGCCCTTAGGCTCTTGTATATCGGCCCTTAGGCTCTTTTCTAGAATTGGCCCTTAGGCTCTTTTTTAGGATCGGCCCTTAGGTTCTTTTTTAGAATTGGCCCTTAGGTTGAGCTGTTTCGGCCTCAAAAATGGCTACATAATTTTTCCCTCATTTTGGCTAAAGGTCTTAGTGAAATTTTAGTTATGCCTTAGCATGTATTTTTGTACCCGTTGGGTTTTTCGAAGGCTCAACGTATGGGAACCTTATTAGACATTTTGTTCGTGTAGACATAATCGGACACCTTTGAAGGGTCTTTCGAAGGCTGGTGTTATCGAAGCTTTTGGATTATCCAAGGGCTAATTTATCGAAGCCCTTGGATTTTTCGGGGGCCAAATTTATCGAGGCCCCTCATATTTTGCTTTTGCTGGGGGTAGCCTGACTTAACCGGTTTTTCAATGTTTTAAGGCCTTTAATTTTATAGCAAAAATCGTACGTCTCCGAGTCGCATTATTTTGGTCGTAGCCTTTTTGTGACCATAGTCTTTAGTATGGTCGTAGCCTTCGGGTTTGTCACTTGGACTTGTTTCCCGATAACTTTCCAAACTTGTTCAAAAAGTAAGTCCCCGAGTAAACTGGCCTTGGCCTTCGTTTCGAGGGGGTGCCTCTTTGAGATCCTAAGAAACCGATGTAGCGATGACTCGGATGTATTGACTGTCAGTGACAGTCCCCGGGTATTTTGGGGTGCTTTGGCCCATGAGCCGCTTCCCGTAGGATTGTAAGTGTAGAGCTCGTATGAAATATGAAGTGTTTTTTTATATAACCAGAATGCTTCTTTGAATAGTTGATAAATGCGTACATGTTTTGCCGTCGGGGCTCGATTATTCTATATGGACACGGTTCATTTGACTGTTTGGCCCATTACAAAGTTCTCCTATTGAGGCCCTCTTAGGCGTGAAATATCTTTCTCAGAACTACAATCCTCCGAGGGTGATGCCCCCCAGTATTCGAGGTTGATCGAAAAGAAGCCTTGAATACGTGTTAAGTGATCCTTAGGTAGCATATAGGTGTTGCGTCATGAAAAATCTTGCCAGTAAAACCCATTTGAGATAAAACCCGATCTAAGGGAAAAAGAGTGCAACGCATGCTTTAAAACCCAAGGTCTTTGAGCTTGAAAAGTGCCTCAATGTATCCGATCGGACATCTGCCATGAGTTAGTTTCAAATACAAATGAAAAAGGAGGGAAGGTCATACCTCAGTAGTAATATCGCTTGAGCATTGATATATTCCAATTGTTTGGTAGTTGCTCGCCTTCCATTGTGCTAAGTTTGTAGGATCCTTTCCCTATGACTCCGAGGACACATTACGGTCCTTCCCAATTGGGACCTAGCTTTCCTTCGTTTGGGTATCGAGTGTTAAGAGTGACTTTCCTTAGGACTAAGTCCCCGACTCTGAAATATCAAAGGTTCGTCCTTCTGTTGTAATACCTTTCGATCCTTTGTTTTTGCGCAGCCATTCAAATTTATGCAGCCTCACATTTTTCATCTAGTAATTCGAGAGAAGTGTTCATTGCTTCGTGAACTTGAGTCTTCGGTGACATGCTGAAACATGGCGCTAGGCTCCCCGACTTTGACTGGAATCAAAGCTTCGTACCCATACACCAAAGAAAACGGGGTCTCCCCGTGCTTGACTTTGATGTTATCCGATATGCCCAGAGTACCTCGGGTAACACTTCTCTCCATTTCCCCTTCGCATCATCTAACCTTTTCTTCAAGTTTCGAATGATGGTTTTGTTTGTGGACTCGGCCTGACCATTTTTACTTGGGTGGTAAGGTGCTAATAGGATCCTTTTGATTTTATGGTTCTCGTGGAATTTTGTCACTTTGCTGCCGATGAACTGTCTCCCATTGTCACGTGTTATTTTGGTGGGTATTTCGAACCGACATATGATGTAGTCCTATATGAAATTGATGACTTATTTTTCTCTTACCTTCTCGAAAGCTAGCACCTCAACCCATTTTGAGAAGTAGTCAGTCATAAACAAAATAAATCTAGCTTTACCTGACACCGTCGGTAGGGGACCGACAATGTCCATCCCCCATTTCATGAATGTCCACAGGGATAGGACCAAGTGGAGTTGTTCACCGGGTTGATGGATTATTGGTGCAAATCTCTGGCATTTATCACACTTCCGAACGAACTCTTTGGTATCTTTTTCCATGCTATCCCAATAATACCCTGCTCTGATCACCTTGCGAACCAGAGAGTCTGCACCAGAATGGTTCCCGCAGGAGCCCTCGTGGATTTCTCGTAGTACATAGTCTGTGTCCCCGGGTCCCAAGCACACTGCCAGTGGTCCATCGAAGGTTCTTTTGTACAACGTTCCATTTTCATCGAGCGAGAATCGAGCTGCTTTGGCTCGAAGCGCTCTTGACTCTTTTGGGTCTGCGGGGAGCTTCCCATGCTTTAAGTAATTGATGTACTTATTCCTCCAATCCCACGTTAAGCTCGTTGAGTTAATCTTTGCATGGCCTTCTTCGATCACTGACTTCGATAGCTGGATGATAGTCCCCGGGACAATATAGTCTTCTTCGACTGATGACCCTAAGTTTGCTAGTGCGTCGGCCTCGCTATTCTGTTCTCGAGTTACATGGTCCAGTGTCCATTCCTTGAAGCAGTGCAATGTCATTTGAAGTTTGTCTAAGTACCTTTGCGTTTGATCGTCTCGAACCTCGAAGCTTTCGTCTACATGATTTACCACCAAAAGGAAATCACACTTTGCCTCGATGACCTCTGCTCTAAGGCCCTTGGCTAGTTCAAGACCTGCAATCATGGCTTCATACTTGGCCTCATTGTTAGTCAATTTAGAAGTTTTGATAGATTGCCTAATAACACTGCCCGTAGGCGATTTTAAAATGATGCCGAGCCTGGATCCTTTCACATTCGAGGCACCGTCTGTGAAGAGGGTCCAAACCCCCGATGATGTACCCGTTTTTATCAAGAGTTCTTTCTCTACTTTGGGTACGAGGGAAGGCGCGAAGTCGGCCACGAAGTCTGCCAAAATTTGAGACTTGATTGTCGTTCGAGGCTGATATTCGATATCATATCCTCCAAGTTCAATGGCCCATTTGGCCAATCTGTCCTACAATTCGGGCTTATGCAAGAATTTGAAGTGGGTATGTAGTCAGTACACATATATGATGGCTTTGAAAATATGGTTTTAATTTCCTAGATGCGCTTATTAATGCTGGAACTAATTTTTCCAAATGTGGGTACCTGGTTTCAGCATCTCCCAGGGTCCGACTCACATAATAGACAGGAAATTGTGTACCTTGCTCTTCTCGAACCAACACGCCACTTACCGCTACCTCTGACATGGACAGATACAAGTAGAGTGTTTCATCCTCTTTTGGAGTATAGAGCAGGGGTTGGCTCGAGAGATATCATTTTAAGTCTTCCAAGTCTTGCTGACACTCCGGGGTCCATGCGAAGTTGTTCTTCTTTTTGAGTAGGTAAAAGAAGTGATGGCTTCGATTTGATGACCTCGAGATAAATCAACCTAGGGCAGCAATCCGTCCGTTCAGCCGTTGCACGACTTTCACATTGTTTACCACGGTGATTTCCTCGATAGCTTTGATTTTATCGGGGTTGATCTCGATACCTCTGTTCGATACTATGAAGCCCAAGAACTTGCCCGAGCCGACTCCAAAAGCGCATTTCTCGGGGTTGAGCTTCATGTTGTACTTTCTAAGGTTGTCAAATGTCACCTGCAAATGGGTCAAATGGTCCTCTGCGCATAGGGACTTAACTAGCATATCATCAATATAAACTTCCATGGATTTGCCTATTTGATGTTCGAACATCTTATTAACTAGACGTTGATATGTGGCTCCTGCATTTTTTAGCCCCAAGGGCATTACATTACAACAATACGTACCATACTTCGTGATGAATGAAGTTTTTTCCCGATCCTCCGGGTTCATTTGAATTTGGTTGTATTCGGAGTAGGCGTCGAGAAAGGTAAGGATCTCGTGGCCGGCCGTAGCATCGATCAAACGATCGATGTTGGGCAATGGGAAAGAATCTTTAGGGCATGCTTTGCTCAAATCTTTATAATCTACACACATTCTAAGTTTATTCCCCTTTTTAAGGACTACTACTACGTTAGCCAGCCATTCAGGATACTTTACTTACCTGGATCCTATTTTGAGAAGTTTGGTTACCTCTTCTTTGATGAATGCATGCTTTACCTCGGACCGAGGTCTCCTCTTTTGCTTCACCGGTTTAAATCTGGGATCGACACTCAGTCGATAGGTAGTTATCTCCGGTGGAATCCCTGTCATATCTAAGTGGGACCAAGCAAAACAATCAGTATTATCAATGAGAAACTAAATGAGTTTTTTCCTGAGTTTGGAGGTTAACCCCGTCCCCAGGTGTACCTTTCATTCTGAAAGATGCTCGACTAATATGACATGCACGAGTTCTTCGACCGTGGATTTTGTCTCATCTGGTTCCTCGAGGGCAATGAAGGTTCGGAGGATAAGGAAATCTTCCTCTTCGTCCCCAGCCGCCTGTTCATCGAACACTTGTCCCTCGGGCTCAACCGAGGGCACGGGCTGTAATTACTGTTTGGCCACCTGTTCGTCCTTTGATTTTTCCAATGTGG